ACTTAATCAAACACAGGTCCCACTCTGACTTTTGTGAAAACACCAGCAATACAATAATACATTTTCAAGTCACCAACTTGGTGCCCAAAATTAATATCGCTATATCGCTTTTCCAACTATAATATTTCATAATGCCCCAGTTATTATGTGAAATGTGAGCATTTGTGACAGCGTGGCGTTTAAAATAATGGAGCCGAAAACTAGAATGTTATCTGTGAAACGTCGCTTGAACATCTAGAACGCAAAGACGCGTAACAAGACAAACACAAATTTAGTTTTAAATATAATTAGTTACGTAGTGCAAAACAGGAATGTTGCAATCCGCCACACAGCCGCGACCATCGCCACAACGATTGAGCAGAAACAGGTAGTCAGGCAGAACATCTTCAAAAGCCGTTTCTCGCCCCGAAAAATGCTCAGCTAGCAAAAAATCACACATGCGAACTCATCCAAAGGAAAACCTCGACCTGCATGGACATAACAGCTAACCACCCAATGAACAAATCAACTACTAACAAACAAGCTGTCAGGTTTGTCTGCTCATAGACAAGCTGTCGGTAACGTGACCTCAATTTTGTGAGCGACGAGATAAAAGTTAGCAGGGTTTAAAAAAAAGGGTTAGCGGAGTTGGTAAAAAAAAAATTTCAGGTAAAGGGACCTCAGAAAAGAAAGTCAAGCTGCTATAGTATTTTATGTTAACATTGAAATTTACGAGGTTAAAAAACAGGGTAAGTAAAACCACTGTAAATATTTCATTAATTTGAACATTTCTGTGCACTCGGACAATAGGCTAATACTGAGCGGTAAGCTCTCGGAAATTCGAAGGAACAATTATATGAGCAACCGTCATAAAAGAGTAGTGCTAAATGAGGAGGCATATGCAAGAATGAGTATGGCAAATTAACAATTTGGTCAATTACCAACTCTTTCACCGGCCTTTTTTTTTTTTTTTTCGCGCATCGTCTTTTAGCATTTTCTGCATGACCGCGTCGTTTTGAGGCACCCTACAAATATTTAAGACGACGGTTTGTGAACTGACACTCCTGCAAAGGCGTTGGCAAAATGCAGACGACGATAATACTTTTCGGTTAATGCCCAAGTTAAACGCAACTTGTTCTACAATCACAAAAACAAAACATGAAGGTGATCGCATTCATCACCAAAAACCGACCTCGCCATGCCACTACATACACTGCGTGAGTGTCGCGTTGGTCGACTAGCTGAGTGTTGTTGATGGAGCCTGCTCAAACGAGAGCAGAAAAGGATTCTGGAAGAGCTGAATTAAAAATCACGCGGAGTGTCACATGAGGAGAACACACTGGATCTATACTGGAAAATAGCGTCCTTAATCACAAAAAATACGACAAAGTCGACCTTTCAACACAGACCATTCGTACACGCGATAGTTTTAACGAGGTCTCATTAGTTTCCTTATTAAACGCATAAGATATTGCTAGCCTGAGTTTGATTTACTTTCGGTTAGAAATGTAGAGTAAAAATCGTGTTCGTTTTTGTGCCCAACAAAAAGCGCGGAAGTCTCACGGCATTTTGAGAAAAAAAAAGAGTAAATTTCTCAGAAAAGTTTGATTGAACTCCCTTCACTTAAAAAAAATGCAGTGTAACCTCGACGGCGGTTTTTATTTTCCTTGTCTTTTTTAAGCGATTGTGTATATATAATTTTTAATAGATAGCAAAGCAATTCAGCACACCACCGTAATTTCTGATTGCACTTTTAAAGTAAAAATAGCGAAGTATGGGTGTGTACTGGTGTAAGCAATGTCAAAGAAAAAAAATATTATGAGTTCATTGTAACTTTTTGGTAAACTATCAAATGACATGGTTCGATGTGACGTTTACTTTGCCAAAGTAAAAGTTGTAAAATATAAATACATTTTATTTTTTATTTTTTCACGCGTTCGTTTGTTGACATAGGCACCACACTTTCCCTAGATTAAATTCCATAACTTCGCGACAAAAGGATCAGTGGTTGTACAGTCATAGGAAAAAAAATGTTCCTCTATTTATTCTAGCGAGTTAATAATTTTATAGTTTCAAATATTACATCCGCCACATATGAGCACCTTTCTAGTAACTTGTAGCGCGATGCGTTAAGAAAAAAAAGACGACTCAGGCCGTTCCTTAAAAACGCCCTTTCGCCATCGGGTCTGCGCTGTAGAACAGAAAAAGCAGCATCCGAACACTGGTCAAGGTAACAAGGGTTCTGACTTGAGATATGAGATAACTCAGTAACATAAATCACATAAATTTGAAAACAAAAATTAATAGTCAACAAAAACTACACTTAAAGCATTGAACAATATAACTTCCTTGTGAAGTTTGTAAGTCAAATAAATACATATATACACTATCCGATTTCTTCTCGCCAAAGCGCGGAAGAATGAATTAGCGTGTGAGCCTAATCAAAGTTAAGAGCAAAATGTTGGTGTATAAATAAAATATATGAAGTCATACCAGTAACTTTGATCCTTGCGTGAGGTTATGCCCCATTTTAGTTACGTTTGAAGTATATAGTTCGCACCTAATTTTACGACGTACCGTCCGATCAAAGTTTCATACCCATAGGCATACTGTTTAAGTGAACCCACAGCAAAAAGACAAAATGTGTTTGGTCTCAACTTTCTACTAATATGCCAAGTCGGGTATTTCTCTATCTCATAAAATCTCCGTAAAAAAAAAAAATGTATGTATTCACTGTGTCAAGCAAAATGCAAAGCGACAATAAGGATACTAAGCAGTGATAGAGTGCAGGCGAGTTGGTAATGGATCGACATCTTGTAGACCCTGAGATGTCCAACAATAAAAAAAACGGTGGAAGACAACAAAATCTCAATTTGTTTTCTTCGCCCGTTTTTTTTTTTTTTATTTATTCTTCCCCATCTCATGGTCTACAGGATAAAGAATACGAGATATTTGTTGCGCTCTCGTCTGAGCAGACGCGTCAGGTAACGCCAGAAACCCAAAATTCTCGAGACGACAAAATATGTAGACACAAACAAAGAACCGGCGACCGAGACGTATGAGGAAAATGCAGCAAAAAACCTAAATGTAACAAATAAGAAAAAAAAAAACAGGTTCACAGGTTTACGAATTCTTACCTACTCAGTCTATGCGGGTATTTTCATACTCTCTTTTCGTCACTATTTACAAAGGTATGTACAACAATTCGCACATAGCATAGATTTGAATATCTTTCACACATTAGACGCGGTAAAAACCGGACGTAAATGAGAAAGCCGCAACGTGGTACAGCGGCTAAACGGCAACGCTTTGACACTGGTATTGTTACAGAAAGTTTAAGAAACGCGAGGCGTGCCGTGTTATGCTCACTTTGTTATTCATTTATCTCCGTCCTCATCGGCGAACGTTGTGACCTTATTGGCCGAGATAGGATAACAAAATGTCTGGAACGCACCACGCCCGGCGCCTCTGATGCTGTCAGGGACAATAGTTGAGGCGAACTTCGGCAACGTGTTTGTGTCGGAGTTCTTGACACTCCATAAATGCGAAACGCGACTAGTTTTAAGCTTGAGCGCAGAATGTAACACATCTCCCGAGCACAGTCACACAAAACGTTAGACGCAGACGTTAACTGAGAGTGCCGGATTTTCTTTTACTTTTCCCGTTAGAGGAATAGGTGCAGGATTGAGTTCGCCGATCCTTCGAAAACCCAGCTGTTCGCCAACAGCCGGTGAACAACAAGCGCTCGCATTAAGAAAACGCCCAATACGACAGAGACATTTGTGCGCAGTAAATTACGAGAGGGACAGAAACACAAGCACAACTTGAGGCGCGCCTTGCGCAACGTGGTTGGGAGCCAACGTGTCCAACTGCAACGAGTGTCTCAACCGTAACAGTGTCGGAGGACATGTGTGGCGTGGAGCTTTTCAGAGTGCGGCATCACTGCAGGTGCGAGGAAACTGGTTCCAAGGAAAACACGACATTATCAGGTAATGCTTCGAGTTCTTTGCCGAACGTCACGTCCGTAGTGAAACGTCCGACTTGGAATTCGACTTGAGCACCGGAAAAGGACCACGAAGAACGCGTCTACTCACACATGTTCCTTTTTCCCCGAGGAACATACAACGATTATAATAAAATCTTTGCAGACTCGTATCTGTGTATGTTCAGGTGCTAAATGTATTATACATGTGGTATAAATATATGTTTATGCAGCTACAAAACATCTACACCAAACCACGCAGTGACAACCACACCATAAAAAGATATATAATTTAAACATTCGTCTGTTCTATTTATGAAATTGATTTATTTTATATCTTTAGGAGCAAGAAAAAAAATTCCTTCACTTTGTTACATCTTTTACACTTGCTTTGAGAGGTGCGTCTACCGAGGAACGTTTGGTTGTGAAGGTATTTGAGAAAAGTTGTCACGGAAATGAAACACAAAGTAGAGGCATCGGAGAGAGCTGACGCAAGGAAGTCGATTTGGTGCATGATCTAGTGACACCCTCGAGTTAAACGGCCATTTCATCAATCCGGAAGTGGAACGAGAAAGCTCAGGTTTTGATTACTGGTTCGGAAGATTAAAATATTCTAGATTGGACGGTAAATCTAGAAGTTGAGAGCTGAACGAACGAAACGTTGTGTATTGCATTACTAAAATAAAATAAAAGGATCATCAGAGGCGACGTTAAGAAAATTATTAGGAAGAGCAGCGCGCACAAGCGTTTAATAAAGGCCCCGGGAGTTTGCGATTAAAATCTTAGAACCGCGAGAGGAAAAAGTAAATCTTCGTCTTCGCCGAAGTTCCACGGAATTCTCACCAGGGGCCGACGGAACCAGTCAGCCGAAATTGATTAAAAACCAGAATAAAAAGATTTCCTCATCGACATCCCTCTTTCGCGGAACTGCACGAACGTCTCACGAATAAAATAAAACAAATCCTCGCGCAAAAAAAAATATATATATATATATATATCTAATTTTTTTTTAATAATAAAGAAAAACAACGGCATGGCATACCTGTGTTCCCTCCAATGTTGGGCGGGTGTTGATTGATTTGGTTCCCTCCATCACGAATATTTTCACAAAATATTTCCAAACTTCCCCCGCACCTCTCCTACAAACGTCATTCATGCTACAAAAAAAAGTAAAAACAAATAATTCTTTTTTTGCAAGTCTGTGCATGTCGAGTGTTGATGGAGAGTTAAAAAAACTCCCTCAATATTTTTTTTCTTTTCACCCTATTCATAAAGGCAGGTCTAAGGTACCTCTTCAATCGGCGAATCACCTAGCGATTTTGAGTCACGTGCTCATGCTACGTGTGAATGAAGAGCAATCTCATTTGCTCATTGTTGAGTGCAGATATTACAGGTACCTTCAGTTGGCCAGTGCGAACAGGGTAATCGTTTCTATGCACTAGGAAACTACGGGCACACTTCAAGCATGCGAGGATTTCAGAAAAGCTTCTTTGGCGCATGTGCTGCCTGCGTCTCTTCTACGAGGGCGTCATCCTTCATTCACAGCAACGTTATAGAACTAAAGCCGTAGCTGTATTTTTTTAGACCGAACACGATGGAGAAGCAGCTCCGAGGTGAAGGGTGACTAGAAGAAAACAATACTCCGCCGGGTTCACACAAACAGGCTTCGCAGCAAGACTGGGGGACCATACGGCTCCGATTGATAACTTTGGACGACAGGAAGACAATACGGAGTCTCTTTTGCGTCCGTAGAAACATGTCGTCCTAACATCCAAGCAGCGTGGTCGAAGCCTTCACGTCAAAACGCCGGATTCTCTTGCATGTCATATCCACTTGAATCGTCGGCGGCCGGTATGCGAGCAGTTGGTGACTTGGCATTTCTTCGATAACCTCTTGTCAAAAGACAGTATGTTGTCGGTCAGTACGACGACAGGGAGCCTTACCATGGTGATCTGGCTGCCGGCAGCCGATTCATGGAAACTCATTTGGCCATACCTCACCTCGCGCGTGAAAACCAGCTAGAAAGAGTGCAAACAGGGCAAACAGAGCTCCCTGTTCACTTGCCGAAAGGTTCCTGGTCTGAACGCCCAGAAGGGCCGGGCCAGAACGTTGGCGGCGCCGCGGCGCCTTGAGCATTGTTACCGTTGTACGACCTGAGCAGAAGTTGAGCCGACACCTCGGCCCAGGGTGACGGCGTCACAGGAGCCGGCAGGGTGTCATCGCGCACGTCCCTCGGAACCATCACGGGAGACGCGGGAGTCTGTCGAACGCGCACCGTGTCCGGACTGCCCAGGCTGATGATGATGTTCTTGTAGACGGCGGCGTCCTCGCTGCCGCTGCTGGCGCTTTCCTCCACGATAGAAGAGGCGCCCTCGATGAGCGACTCGTCGCTCTTGAACGCCGACCGTTCCGAGCCCGGCCTGCCGTAGCGCAGCGGCGGCGGCAGAGCGCCCTGCGAAGAACCACCACGAAACACAACGTCCGAGACGTCATCGTCGGCGCCCACGGCTGCCGGCACGTGCCGGCACAGCTTGCGGTGCCGGAGGCCCGGCGCCAGGGCGCCTCCGGGGTCCTCGTCTTCTTCGGGGGTTAGGGTGGACATGAGTGTCTCCGAGCGGACGATGCGTCTCCGGAGGCAGGGCAGCCACATCTCCACCAGGTCGTCCGTGGTCTGGCAGGACGCCTCCTGCCGGGGGCCCACGGCGCCCGCGGTCTGCGGGAGCCGCTGGCCGTCGGCCCCGTACGCGTGCTGCAGCATCCCGACGAGGCGCTTGCGCTCTTGGGCGCCCGGCGGCGAGTCCGAGGAGGTCCGTGTGGCTGGGATCTTGTTGGGGCCGAAGAGGGGCTCGGCCGAGTGGCGAAGCCTCGTGCGTCGGTCCAGGGCCTCCGCGGCTCGAACGGCGCGGATGTGCTGCGCCACGCTGGCCGCGATGCGGTCTTGCTTGCTCGCACGGAAGCGCTCCAGCAGGTTCAGGCTTTTGCTGCGCGTCGGCGGGGGCTTGAGAACCGTGTCTCCGGAGTGGTTCCTGCGCCCAGAAACCAAGAAGGAGAACGTTATCGGGCAAGGAAAGCGTACGCAATAGACCGGTATCACCACCCAGATTTGTTACGCCGCCGCGGTCGCAAAATGCACCGAGGGAACTTTAATCATTTTGCACGTGGGACAAACTCGCTGAAGCACTGCACATTCACAGCATGACACGGCACGAGGCGTCTGAAGAAAAACCGCCCGCCTCCTTTGAACTAAAGCTATTGAGGCGTCACGGATACGCCGAACACTTGCTGAGATCGGTCTAATGCAAGATTTCCTGCAGGTCCCAACACCCTGGCGTTTACAGTGCCGAATGTAACAAATACGTTCTCGAATTCGAATTGCGAAAAAGTGCCATAACCATTTTTCTTCGCACAATCGGGACAACTATTGTTGGAAGGATTCAAATGCAGACACAGCACGTGTTTATTTGAAAAGGTACGCGGTAGTGGCGTATATCAGACCTTAGATTGAGCGATAGCGAGAAAAGGACTATTTTTTGTCTTGGCTATCCGCAGTAATGAACATAGCTGGTAACTAGCCTCTATACAGTAATTCGCTGCGCTACTGCTTTATCTTTTTAGTCTGTGGCTATATCTGAAGACATCTGGCTTTTGAGGGATTAACAAAGAAACAAATAAAATACAAAGGCCGAAATACGTGGTTTGATTCAGACTCACGCCCTATGGGCAATAATCACGCAAAAATAACTATATTTTCTTGAGTAATAGACTTCCCGTTTTGGAATTGTTATAGGGCGTTTTACTGGCATTTCCCTTGCAGTGATTTGTGCGTTTGGTAAAAGCGACGTTCGTTTTCGCTCCGGCAGATTGTGGACGCCGTCGTGTTGTAACACTACGGGTGTTATTGACACAGAAGTGATTCTGAAGGACTGCCTTGCGTTTTCAATCGTGGGTTTAGAGGCGATGCGGGTGTGATCCGCTATACTCTGTTATCGCGACCCCCCGATTTCGTTGTTACATCGATCCCCTTGTTCTAAAACGGGCGTCTGCCGCCGTACGCTTATTAAGGCGGCTACCCTGCGTCGTCGCCTCCTGCTGCCGCATCTCGCGTCATCCTCACATTACGGTGTCATTCCGATAGAGCGTTGTGCCGCGCCACCGCCGAGAGCACGGCGCGGTTCCCGGTGATTGGAGAGGGACACAGCACCGCCCGCGTGCGTTTGTCTGTGCAGGCGGACGGGAGAAGCTCATTAATTATGCGGAACTTTTTCCCCCAAAAGAGGACGAGTCCTGTCATGGACCATTAGCCGAGTGCGGAGTCGATGCTGCGCGATCCCGCCACCGTGACCCCGCTTTCTCTCGGGTCCTATCTCTCCCTCACCCCCCTCTTCCCTTCTCCCCTTTTCCCGCCCCCTCCTACGTACTCTTCCGTCTCTTCCCCGGCTTCTGTAAGCCTGTCTTCTGGAATGCTCCCGGGAAATCTCGGGCGACGGGAGACGACGCGCCGAAACAATGGCCGCGCGAGAGGGGTGCGGAGATCGGTGCGCTGTTTATTTTAAAGTGCGACGCTGCAAACAGTCGCTTTGTCAAGATGTCGCGGTTCAGTAGGTCCGCGGAAATAAAGGTTTGCACAAATAGTGAACCGATTTGGTTGGAAAGGGAAGCTTCACAACGAAGGGAGTAGTGAACTAGCTTATTATAAATTACAAATCGTGACAAGATGGACGACGGGACTGTATAAAAGGAAAATGAACGTAGGTGTTTTGTCCCCACAAAAAAAGTTAGGTTCTACTTATCTTTCTTCCTTTACTCTGTTATGACCCCTCCTTTTCCTCCAAAACAGGAAGACGAAGATGACCCCTCCTGGGAGACAGGCTGCGCTCCTGTATTCTTGTCTGTCTAAGCAATAAATTGCTACCACTACTCTACAAGAAGTGACTGTGAATCGTGAACTCTTAATTCCTTTAATGTTTAGTCATAAATGTGCTGTTTCTCTTGGCGCACACAGGATAGGACAGACATACCTTCTTTTTTTTTTTAATTTGACGTATTCTATTGTCGATTTCATGAGAGCAGCAAGCACGTCGAAACAACGCTGCCTGTTTGCGCGAGCGTCTAGTTCAAAACTGTTTCATTTGTACACGCCTTAGTGCCCATACGATGTAGGTAATTTCTTTCACCTGTACACAGTTCCCAGAAAAGACATCTGACTGGCGCCATTTTCAGTCTGTGAACGAGGGTTGTGTTTTTGCTTCAGAGCGGTGAACGCATTCGCCATTGGCAGAAGTCCGAAATGCGGCCCGCGCACGCACGAAGAACTCTAGCTACTACAGGCTGCCGCTTCCTAACCAGTCATATACGCAGCATTCGTACAAAATTTTGAAAACTGAATTCGGAGCAAAAACATTCGTGCCCACGATATTGCCTTAACATATTTGAAATGTACTGCACTTTGGTTTTTACTTGTAGCCAAGGTGTGTACGGGAGTAAGGAATAAATTTGTTCCAACGCTTTCATCATTGCACCGCGTTTATTTTGTTGTTATTATTTATTTTTATATTACTGCTATTTATTATTTTTACGTTATTCGAAATAGCGCGTCGGTACGTGGAGCGCATGGGAAATATCGAAAGTTTGCATCAACAGCACTCCCTCGCGAAATACACAAACTTGGCTTCTTGCGCCAGTGTGCGACGAAGTTAAGCATTTTCTCTTGGTTGCTTTGACCTTTCTAGGTACGCCTTTCAAGCGACGAAACACAGAAGCAATATGCACGGATCCAATAAACCCTGTATAACCTTTCTTTCTTTGGCACTCTGGTATTGTTTTGCCGTCTCAAGTAACTTTGGGACTAAACGGAGTGAAGAAAGTGAGTCACGAGGAAACACATCCGTATTCGGGAGGTATACGGTTGCCTAGCGTCGTAGCGGACTAGTCTGTAAACCTGCCAATTTCGGTGCGTCTCCTCGTAATAACGGAGCCAGCGATACAGCAAAATTGATTCTTCCCCGCTCTATTTTTCTTTTTTTTTTGTCTTTTGAACACAAAGGACGCACACGCTGGATGAGCTTGGTTCGAGAACTGGAGGGAGAAGGTCAATATTACGAACCAGGTCTTGCAAGTGTTTGAGCTACGCTACCGGTTGTTGGCTTAACCTTGTCTCAACCAAAAATGCAAGAAATTATGCCTTTCCGACTTTGCGAACTTGAGTTTCCCTAAGTAGCCTGGTGGCACGCTTGCATTTTGCAAACAAACAGGCTGGAGGTGTGAAGTACAGATGAACATAGATCACGAATCATGAATATTCTGCGTGTTTCTCTTGGCGTGTTTGTACTGCGCAAACCCATGTGACGACGTTATAACGCGGCACGAATAAATGATAAAAAAGGCATAAACATCGCCTAAATGTCTATTCAACGCAATGTTTCCATTGCTTTCTTGAATATTACATTTTATGTTGATCCAGCAACATTTAAATAAACTTGGCTAGGTCACTGTTGTTTCAGCAATGAAGGGAATGTCATTTTCAATGTATATATCAGAGCAAAAAGTTGCGATCGTAACGTCATCAGGACGTGCACGAAGGTCCTTCGCTCTACTTTTCTGGTTACTAGACTCGTAAGTCAATTTCGAATAAAAAAAAATTGACAGGAAATACGTGTCGAAGCTAAAATAGCAACAAGTAGTCGCGTCACTTGTGTTTGTACCTCTGTAAACCTCGCGCCACATTAAAAAGCAGTGAACAGAAAATTCACGCCCGATTTGAGTCTCTCTGAAGACTAAATATATTGGAAAAGTTCCGTATGTTCGAAACTTACGAAGTTTAGTTCAAATCGAAGAACTAAAGTGGCTCACACTGGATACATCAAGAGGCAAATAACACATTCAGCAGGCGTTGGTGTCACAAATGCACCTGTTAGCATTTCGTAAATCAACATCTACTCCTATATCCCGATCTGTCTTGTAATTTCTTCGCCTCTTGGACCTGACAGCCTAAGACTGCAGAGTATAAATACCCAATAACCACCGTAAGCGGAAACACACACCCTCTCAATTCAGGTACAAATTCTGCGCTGCCACTGGTTAAAAATGCATATAGTCCGTGCTTAAAGATATTGTTCGGTGGTATCCGGAAGTTACTGAGCTTTTGGCACTCATCACGTAGAGAGGTCCTAGATATAGTCATATGTGATATTGGGGCGGCTTTCATTAAAAGACGCCCCAATATTCGTTGATTCAATTATAAAAATCAATACGAAACTTTACGCCAAATTTCGCAAGAATGCATCGCTGGTCCTTTCGTGACGTTGCATCAGGCATGATAGCGTCAGACTTTCGTACGATGACTCATTTCCGTTTTTTTTTTTTCAACACGGTCGACGGTGGTTTAAACGATCATCGTAAAAAAATTGAGCTTCCCTGACTACCGTAAGCCTTGTATTTTGTCGAACGAAGTTATCTTAATAAGACAGCAGTCAAAAGCTGAGGTTGCTCTTTCCGCTCCTGTTACGTCAGAGCTTCCGCTCTTGCCAACGAAAATGTTGTGCGTTTAGCAGGTGCTATCTGAGCAGTTGAGCTCTGTTTAAAACTGAATTAGTCAGGCGACGGAGAACAAAAATGGGGATATCCTGCGGACGATATTTCTAAAAGCAATGACAACTTATAATTTAATTGTTTTCTGAAACACATTTTACGAGACAATCTCTTTAAGAAATGCAGGACGATCAACATTATGGTCACACTTTTTGCTTCGTGGTTGTTCCTTGTCGTCCTTATCAACAAGTCCCGTAGTCTTATTGGCTGTGGAGTGATAAAAATATTTACGGAACCGGCAAGGCCCCGGGTCTCTTAAGCTGTCAGTAGCCGCGGATACATGATTGTGACCGTAGTGCATTGATTTGAGATATGGCGACTGTGATCGGGTGGAATAGGAAGAAGCAGAGGAACTTCGTGCGCGTGCTCGCTTTCCACTAAAAATAGACACATCTCACTAAGCGCTCCATGGATGCCTGACGCCGCCATAATTGTAGTT